TGACATACATACTAGTTATGTTGAGACTCGGGAACTGTGGAGATCCGCAGCGCTTCTTTAACTTGAATCATTGATCTTTATAAATACCTCAATATTTCATTTCCATCAAGCCTTAACTGTAGTTTATGACTATTGGAAAAATTAGATTACAACTCGAAGAAGGAAATTGCTCAAGTTAAGTAAAAGCAAACGAAAAAATGCAGTCAGGCCCTTTGTGGAAATGGGCGGGAGCCTTTAACTAGCCGCAAGCAGCGAGCCATTTTCCCTTTCACATGGCTGACAACATCTTGGGGCCCCACGCTGGCCTGCATGCAGAAAAGTTGTCTGAAGTGTGAGGAAGCCTGCCATGAGGAGCGATGCCATATTCAGAAAGGAGTGCAAGCCTGTGTCGTTGGCCATTTCGTCAGTTTTCTGATCACTTCTAAGTAGTGAAATTACCGTACGGCGAAACTTCAAATTGATTGTCTGTGCTGCCATAGGCCTTCCCCTTCGTTCACAAAAACGTATGTGACTTCATGTCAAGTTCTCTGAGCCTGGGGAGATTGAGGAAGGCCTCAGGTATTACAATCCAAATTTTACACTTAGCCTCGACCAAACCGAGGAATCCTGTCGGTAAGCACTAAAGTTTCTCAATGCGGATTCGCTTGGTTCTCTCATAAATCAACTGCGGCTTAAATTAGGTAGACTTATGCGTTTTCCAATGCGATGTGAGAGGGATATCATTCAGCCCCTATATATGTAGTCAAGAAGAACATAATAATGAACGAGCTCGCAGGAGCATGGGGGTGAATTTACCCTCAGTCTGTCGGACGCCAACAGTACTGGCAATGTGTGCTCTTTCGATGGATGCGTTATCAGCCTTGGACTGATATTCGCGAATGCCGAAGATGAAGAACTGGAGTTAGCGCTGATGAAAAATATTCTGAAAAATTCTGTCCTAAAACTTATTCTTCAACACTTCAAGTCGGTATACATAAGTCGGTATACATGTGTTATAGAATATACATTTTTGTTGTTCTGTAACTCAGCTCTTACCATCATTTAGGTAAACTGTAGTTCAATAAGGCGAACGAACTAAGAATTAGAAGAGCTAACTTATAGAGCTGAACGAACTAAAAGTGAGGTAATCTTTAAAGTGAACTAAAAAATACAACTCTAGTTGCGATGCATTCGAGACTATCTACATATATGGCAAAAGCAAGCCGCGTGGGAGATTTCGATTTTTACTTAGGCAGAAGGCAAACTAACCAACTTTTATCAGGGAGGAACATCTTGATCTCGCCCTGATTTCTTATTAAAAACTAGAGGGTTCTCAACGCTCACGCGTTTTCGTATCGGAGATGCGGGTAACAGTAAGGCTGAACATTCTACTGAACCCCTTATGTCGCAGTTGCTTGGAAGAGGACGAAGTACAATCACCTCAACACTACCTTCTTAGGTGCCCAGCGTCGCGAGGCTAAGGTTGAAGTAATTTAGGTCTCACGTTCTAAATAGCCCTGAAGAGCTCTGGAGCATTGAGATCGGCCGTATTTTTAAATATATAATCGGCTCGGAGCGTTTTAACGTTAAAATTTAGGGGGCTGTTCTAAATTGTACTGCATAAAATCGGCAAACTCAGAATACCAACTAGATTCATCACGACGCAGTGCTATCGAAAATTTAATCCTTTATTATTATATTTGACTGCAGTCCCTATTCAAAGCAAACAATTATTCTGCGCAAATTTGTAATGACTATAATCACCTTGCCTGTAAATGAAGTCGTCAGCTTTATCACTCTTCCTCTTACCGAATATATTAGCAATTAAGAAGCACTATCAAATGTTGATGTACACCCCAAAACCATTCTATTTAACCAGCACTTACGTTATACATACATATATACATACATACTCAACTCGTACATAGCATTTTCCCACTCACCTTTGGTACTGCAGCAGTGCCGGCAGCCGATGTTGGTGGCAGTCCGCCACTTATCGACGTGTGAAATGCAGCAGCTGCCGTAGAAACGGCATTCAACGGTATACTGGTCATCGAAGTGGTAGCCGTCGAGTTCATTTTTGATTTACGGCCACTCTTGAAATAAAAGCGACGCAACGCAGTGGCCGAGGAAGATGACGAGGTGTTGAAGCCGTCATTGTCCGAGCTGCTAGAAGCACTGCCACCACTGCNGCTATTGTTGGTGTTGTTGGTGTTGTTTTTTCCAGTAGTTGTAGCAGCTGTTGTTGTTGTTGCTGCTGCTGCTGCTGCTGATGTTGCAGCACTTCTCGGCCGATGGCCCAAAGCGAGTGCCATCATAGCAGCCGAACGAGTGGAAGCGTAACAGCTGGAAGCGGTGCACGGTTTGGTGATGGAGGTAATGGTGGAACCACCTTGCGTTGTTTGCGTAACCGAAACGGTCATGGCTTGGAAGTTGTTAGCGGCAACGCCTGCAAGATAACGATGTAATTGGAAATGTAGTGAATTGGCTGAGGAAATTACTTAGTAGGCAAATCTGTGTGTGGATATGCAGCAAGTCCAAGTGCGTAATGCACTTATAACCGCTTGAATATATTGTGCAATTAGCTAGTTATTTTGGCTTTTGTGTACGAGCTTAGGTCAGCGTGTAATTTGGACAAAGTCCTTCAAAGGTTATAATTTTGGTAATTTGCATAGAAATAGCGCAAGCTCTGTTGATTCATGGCTCTTCAATAAGACAATGCGTATGTATGTTATTGCATATGCAAATGTGTATGGAAGTTATTTACTGGCGCCTGACCTAAGTAACAGCAAATTAGCTAACGTCCCTCAAATCGCCGACCACAAGTATGCCGGCGATCAATGTCAAGCTGTCATTGAAGTTGCTTAGCTGCCTTGGCATTAACCGCCTTTCACTTGCAAGATGTGTGCCATCATTCGGTATGCCGCATCACTGCGTAAATCACAGGTTGAGTAATTGCGGTAACACAAATATGCTTGTATGTGTGTGTGTTTATGGATTAACTGCACGCAGGTAATTGATGTTGTGTAATTGCAAGTACAAATCAACAGGGTGCTTCGAAAGCAAATATTCTATACAAAGTATTTGATTGCAATGTATTTCAACTTATTTACTTAAATTATTTCAAACTAGATAAAATTCGAACATCACAAAATGTGTAAAATGTGAAATCTTAGGGGTATCTCTTCATTCGACTTTTATTGACTTGTATTTCAGAAGGCTCAAATACTTAATTTTTTTTTAACAGGGTTGCGTCTAACGTCTCTTGAATGAATACCCCATTTATTTGAAATTATCTTTTAACTTAAAATTAACTGAGGTAATTAAAAAGCTTCAACGTCTGCTATGTGAGTGTCTGAGATGGGCGCCGCTCACACCGAAATCTGTTCTCTAAGCCAGGAGGTGGCCAAGTTCATATATTTTTGAGCGAAGTAAAATCGTCTAGGAAAAACAAATGTTCTTAAGGAAGCTTTTAAAGAGAATAAAAGTTTATCCAACCGCTGTATGTTTTCCAAAAATACAAGCCTTACATCAATGCAGTACAATTTGCGTAAGAGCTAAGTTCACCAAGAAAAGATGGATGGTGAGACCACAGATATATTACCCACATCACGATGTTAAAATTATGTTTGGCAATTTCTATGCTAGGCTGGAAAAATTAGACATATTTGACCCAACAGTATAACCTTGACGATTGCCTCCGAAAACGTGCGTTCGATACAAGGATAAATCTTCGATTAAGATAATCCCAACGAAAACCTGACGTCAAAAGACTGCAATCGCTATGTACTGCGAAGAAATGGTGAGGCTGTTTCTAAGTCTATTATTTATGTATGTACAGGCATCAAGACTTAGAAAAGAAGTCTGAAAGGGAGCAGGGTAATGGGCCCCAACTTCGGAGTCTTAACGGCCGACAATGCTTGAAACAATAGCCTATTGACCCTATTGTCATAGGGTGCAAACCCTGAATGCACTCCAAAATGAAATGCTGTTGGTCAAAAAAATCATCTTAAGTTTCTGTGTCCGTTGGAGTATAAGCAGATAACGTCCAGAAGTCTAGAAATGGAAAAAACAAACTCATCACTTTATTCTCATTAAATCAACGAGACTTGTTAGTAGCATCGATCTAGGTCTAATCAGACGCTCGTAAAGGAGTTGAAATAGCTCAAATCCTTGGCATCTCTAGACGTATCCATGAACCTCGAGTTGAATATTATCGAAAGAGTTGAGCCACACGGAAATACAATGCCGAACATGTATCAACCTGTACAAATCCAGCTCATGGAGTGAAGTTTGAGGTCGACTGTGGGAAATGTTTTTTTGGCAGAACTTGGCTGCGGATAACTACATGAAGTTCTTCGTAGGCGTGCAGCATGGAGCAATTCCTCGCTAAAACCCTGGTTATCTTAATATGGGTTCCATTGACGATTTAAGATATGAAGTCTATTTTTAAATTGATGGCAAGGTATAGGATAAAAAACCGGGAAGTTGGCAGTAGTGAAAATTACTTTCGTTGAACGCAAAGGGTTTCAGAAGAGGTCGAGATATGAAAATTTACGATATCACTATGGTTTCAAACTCCTACTCATCTTTAGAGTGGCTCCTACTATAGTCCTACGCCTAAGCTAGATAAGCTTGAGCCCATAAGTACTTTTAGAACCGCATCGATGCTTCATTATTCTCTTTTTGTTATCTCTAAATATGTGAAACCCTTTGGTAAGTGTTTTATACAACACGATGTGACGGTATGCTTTCTTTATCTTGAATTTCGAAAAAAAAACTTGAAAGAAATCCGCAAAGAATTCTAAAATTGACCATAAAAATTCCCGAATAGCTTTCATTTTTGAGGGTCGAAAAAAAAACTGTGAGAAATACCAGAAAATAATCGCTCTTTTGCTGAAAATAATAAAAGAATCATCACAATTTTTATCGTTAAAGTTATCATTCTCACTATTGTTATCGGTTTCTTTATCGTTATCGATATTTACATTGTTATCCACATTTCAAAAACGTTTACATCTTTGTGGTTATCGATTCGAATTGGGTTTCCCTTTCATAATTGTGGGAAAAAAATTTACCAAAAAATATTTCAAAAATGACTGTATACTTCCTCACCCAATTTAAGCCCCCTTTGAAAAAGTATTTTACATTTGTTGCTGTTTCTATTTAGTATAGCCATTTGCTACTTCATACACTTGATTTGTGGGCTGGTTGTTTCGACAACCAATCAGCTAACTTTATGGTCAATTAGTTTCCACCTGAAGTTCTCGTATGCACTTGGCAATTGAACTGGAGATAAACACACAAGGAGAACTGACTGCACACAAAGCACACACGTAATCACACCAAGCCACACAAGCCTCTGCACTTACCTAAAGATACAATGTGAAGCACTTCTCCAGCCAAAAGCAATAAGCCTCAATGTAAACAAAAGCAGTAGCCGTACACGCGTATATGTATGTTGAGATGCACAGCAGTCCCTAACCAAAATGAAAAAAGTGTAGCAACAGCATTCATTGCTCAATGCATCTCTACATAAACAGTGATACCTGTGTTTACTTTCCAATCTTTCTGTTGCATCTGTCAGTTGCATGAAAACAAACGCATTTTCACTTCGATGCGAATCGTAGGTGGATGATACACAGATAAATGGTAACTGTACGATTAAGAAATGTACGAAAATCGGATAGCTGTTTGGTGGGTTGAGCCAGGAGGCATTTTCAGGTGAACAGATTTTTGAAAGTGTTGTAAAGCCTTGTGTGCAATGTGGGAAATGCGTGCAATGTCTGGCGAATGTACTCGAATGTATGTATGTACATTAGGGTGGTCCAAAAATGCATGTGAAAAAGTACAGTCGGAATTTGTATGCTCTCACCCCCTACGACTGTTCTATATAAAAAAAAAAAAATATACCCATATTTTTTTATTTTGAAATCAAATAATGTTTATTGGTCGCTCAAAGCGCTCAAAATTTTCCACGTATTTTATATGGGTAGAAACAAATTTTCGTAGAACTTGAAAAATATTGATTTTCAAGTATTCCATACCATTTCTACGAAAAGTTGTTTTTCCCATATAAAATACGTGGAAAACTTTGAGCGCTTTTGAGCGACCTCTAAATAGTTTTTGATTTAAAAAAAAAGGGGTAAATTTTTTTCCGCATAGAATAATCCTTGGGGATGAGAGCATTAAAATTCCGACTTTACTTATTTTGGACCACCCCAATGTACATGCGTAGTATGTATTTATTAGTGCATCTTGTTTGGAAAATATAAATGTTATATCAATGCGTATTTTTCTTTTTTACACATAAATATGTACATATATATGTATCTACCTACAAGCAAAAGCCTTTGTTGGTATTCACGATTGCTTGTGAATTTTTAATTGCGGTCAATTATTCCATTACATTTCGAACCTTGTAGAAGTTGCTTCAGGGGGAAAATATAAGTTTTAATTGGTATTAGTTTCATGGAACCCAACAAATAACTATGTTGCGCAATTGACAAATTTTAATTAGTGTTGCCGAAAATTAAAATTTGCATGCATCTCTCCACTGCATAGAAGCTTTTAGATTCAGAAATAAACTAGAAAATATATTTAATTCACAAAAATGTTTTGCTTTTTGTGCAAAATATTTGCATATCCATAAGTAAAGTTAGTTTTAATATCTAAGAAGGCTTGTTAGATAACTTTTGAATATTTTCCAAGAAAACCAAGAATTAAGGTTTCCTATTAAATTGTGTCTCTTTGGTAAACAACTTGTATAAGTGGCCTATTTGAAGCGGGCAATCTCTGCTTGGAAGACACTGCAGTTATTCGCTAGCATTTATTTAAAATTGATAAAAAAAAATCCTAGCAGAACTGAATCCGTCTGCTTCGCCAGCGAACTTTCATCCAAACGTGATAAGATTCATCGGAGCTTGGGTGCCACAGTGAATTCAAATTTGCGATAGTATTTACTCGGAGTGCATAACGAATATTGTTCTGATTTGCCTTTAAAAGTTATTAATTAAAAAATTTTACTGTGGAAGCGGTTAACCTTTTTGTGGACACTAGGGTGATTGACTCGGTTTTTTCAAACTGAGTTTTAACCGGTTTTTTTTTAAATATTTGAAGGTGATTTTTTTGTAACCCTGAATTTTTGAGTAAACCGGATTTTTCCAATCGAATAAACCGAATTTTTACGTGGTTCATTTATATGAAAGAATACAAGAACTCTAAAATTCATTTTATAGAAAATGGTACTACAGAAAATTACGTAAAAATAAAAGAAAACCGAACGAAAATCTTGCATTGTGTTTTTGCTTTTTTTACATGTTGTCTTCATCCGACGGGTTTTGGGCCGTAGGGAGAGGGATATTAGAGCGGAGCTGATGTGGGTGAGCCTGTGAGCCTGTGGAGCTAGTGTCGTCGGGACATCTTACTTGAATTGGACTGAACAGTTTAACCTGCTAAAATATTCAGAACGGAGTTGTGTTAAAGAATCGCGAGCCTCAAGAAGCAACTTCAGCTGTTCGTCAGCGATAGATGGCGCTGTTCTCCGATGATGGAATTGACAGGCTGAGAGTTGAAGAATGTGTTGATTGCATCTCAATGAATGGCCTGTCCATGGTAGACTACAGATGGTGTATGGAATAAAAAAGAAATTAACTTTTCGGACCACCGCATGTTAAAATTCTTGCAACTTATCTGAGCTGTTAACTGCAGTTAAGCATTTGGTGACAATGGGGTATAAAGCTGCTTTACCTATTTTTGGCAGCCACATTTCAGTTTTAGCCAGGATTTCGGACTAACAGTATTTAAGTGTAACAGTATGGAAAATATCTAAAATAAAACCAGTTTATCCAGGTTTTCTTCATTTGAAAATGGGGGCCGTTTTTTTTTTTAGTTATCATTTTGCAGATAACACAAAAAACGGGTTTCGAGTAATGGAACACGCTAGAGGACACCATGGACTGGCCAGACCATTTCTGGCTTTGAGATCATTTGAAAAGTACCTGTAACCATTCGACCCCGGCGGCTGCCTAGCAGCTCTGGTGGCAATACGAGCTGTGAGAATAATCACTCAGTAAGCTTCTAGTACCTTTCGGCATGCCGAAAAGGGGTAGTAAAACGCTTACCTAGTGGTATCCAAGAGTCATGGTAAGATGGTTTAAAATTTTATTTTACTTTACTTCCGGCAGATTCAATAAAATAGCAACCTAGGGCGACCAAACATTTTCTATAAAATCAGTTAGCCAATTAGAAAGAAGAACTAAATTTTTTCGAACAAAATCATATGTGCGAAAGTGTGTTAATGTGGCTTATTGTCAGCATGAATTACAGATTTTACAAATTAAACAGATTTTATACCGGCAAATACATACGTATGTTTGTATGTATGTACATAAACAAACAACAAATAATATTCATAAAGATAACAATTGCGCACCAATACACATATGTAGGACACTAAATAAAATCACACAGCACATGAATTTCAAACAAATCGAAATCAATTGGTTTGTTTTCAAATTCACTCACCTATGCAATTTATTGGCTGCTAAGAGTTTTGTGTGAAAATATTTGGTGTTTATCAAGAGGACAGCAAAAATATAAATTTTATTCACTGTCTAAGAGTCGTTTGTTTGAGAATAGCTGTGCCATAGGGGTAGGTGGCTGATGTTGTGCTATTCGAGGCCAATTGCGCGGCAAGTCGAAGAAGAAAAATATTATTTTTTGAATATGTGCTCAAACACACAACGTGAAGGTACTATGAAATTCCCTCTTGCATTTGTTTTGGTCTGTCATTGAATAAGGCGCTGTATTAAATAGTACAACCAAATAAGGCAACCAACCACGGCCAAGCAAAACGCTTCCAGGCGCTATTAAGCATTCAAAGCCCAACTACATCTCCCAGAGATTCATTCATGGTTTCTTTCTTACGCTTCGCTATCAGCGCGCTCTGCTGAACACATTTGTGGCGCGCATTCCAAGTGTGTGTTTGCGGAATGTTATTTTCCGAAATTCGACAGCTTAGCAAAATCAACAAATAATGCTTGCATGCAGCTTTCCATTGGACGCGCACGTACACACGTCCACCTGCATGGCATGTTTACAGATTTACGAGTAAGAGGTGGGCGCGTTCATAAATATGAGGGATGTGAACTTGAGGCACAGCAAGTAAGCGGAAGAGGCGGTAAAGTACCTTGGCATAGACAGCAAGAACACAGCTCGCAAGATAGATAGATAGCGCCAAAAACGGGAGGTTGGCGGCAGCGACTGCCACTGCCGCTGCGCTGTACTCGCTGTGCCGGAAATGTTTTGCCGCTGCACGTACTCAACTGCCACCACCACACTAGTCTCTTACTTTTGAAATTATTTTTGCGCTCCGACCGCGTTGGGGGAAGGTCGCCCCTCCCACTGTTCTGTGTTTTGTTTTTTTTTTTTTGCTGGAGGCTGGTAAACAACTTTGCTTGGTATTTTTACTAAATTTTTTCTTAGAGTTTAGTGTGATCAAAAGATTTGCAGAGGTTTTTAGAATGAATTGAACGGTGTTTTATATGGGCATTTTTGACAACTTTAGTTCCACTTTTCTTGTGGAGAAAAGCTCAGTTTGAGCTGGATGTTTGACGTGCTATTTCGTGGGTTCTCCATTTGCATTTGCTTTTTAATGCAGAAATACACACTCAAACAACCAGAAATTAATTTTTTTTTTTTTACCTAAATTGCCTATTTATGATTTTTGGTTGCTGTGCTATTTGTGTATACAAATATTTACATTTATATATAACTTTGCATGTAAGCGATGACATGAATATAGGCGTATTTTCCCATTTTAGAGAGATCACTGTTCCAGTTAATGATCAACACCTGCCTTCGACGTCATCATTTCGGCAGTAGAACTCTTAATTACATACAAATCATAGTGTTTATATGAAAACAGAGACAGATGTGATTGTACTTTTTATATTCAAAATTTCCTCATGAGTGCATCATTGGCTACGTCATTCGCAGACACAACGGACAACATTTAAAGTTTACCCAAAATATATTTTTTCAATTTGCTGGGGGGCAATCAATTATACTCATAGTACTTTGTATTTAACTTTAAATTCGTCAGCACATAATTTTACTAGGTCATTTACTAGGAAGTGAGTTTATGCTATACAATTTTCTCTTTATTTAGGTAGTCAACTCACATCACAGTGCAACAAATTTCAAAAAGTTGGAGGTGATGTCAGACCAACTGTAATCGATTAAGCTATTCAAATTATGAAAAATTACCAAAGGATCTGAGAATTTTGGTTACATTTCTTGTATATACCAATGACAATGAATAACTTTTCTTCATTTTTCAAATTTCAAATCACCTCAGAACCAGTGGTCCAAAACTGGAATTTACTGTTTAAAATAGTCCAGAGATTTAATTTTTCACCCGATTTGATTAATTTGCTCTTAAATGAAAACTTATAAAATTTGGAAGAGAAATATTGAGCCCGATTTTTAATTGGTATTGGTCTAAAAAGAAAGAAAAAAAATTACAACAATTCTTAAAATTTCACCAAGATTTTCTAACTTCCATTTTTAAAACATTTCTGCGTATGCGGTTTATAACACATGAAATTTTAGTATTTATAACAAAGTGCAAGTTTGAATACACTTGAAAATCGCGAAACCGAAAAAGACTATCAGCACACAAAAATTAAAAAAAAAAAACAAAATTTTTAAAGTCTTCAAATTTGCACCTTACTATACTTAATTTACGTGTGTTATAAAACTGTATGCTCAGAAATGTTTTACAAATTCATACCGAAACTTCAGAAAATTTTATGAAAATTTGAATAATTTTTTTCAATTTTTTCTTTGTTTTAAAACTCTTATTAAAGCTGTTTTAGCTATATAATGGACAATATTTTAATCAAACACCAACAAATAAGTTATAATATGAAAAACATATTTATATAAAAAAAAACAAATATTATCATTTTAACATTGCTGCTATTTTGTTCTATAAAACTAGAAAGTTGCAAATTAGTATGCTAATTTATTGTATTTTCTTGAATTTTACACAAAGTTTAGAAATTTTATTTCTGTGTTTTTTGTTGTAGTATGAACTATATTTTTCTAAACAATTAGCATAAGGAAATTACAATAAAAAACTTTTCGTAAGTTCTCTGCGCCAATACTTTTGTTCGGTTCGTCACTGTGAGTAGCAGCAAACAAAAACCTGAATTATTCGGATTGATCAGGTCATCATTATTTAGTTTTCTAGTTAATCAAATTAATTAGAATCTGATTAATCAAAAAGTAATAAATCGGGAAATTGATCATTTTAATTAATCGCGAACGATTTTCTTATATCAATAAATTAATTCGGCTACTATTAATTAGCACGTTCAATTAATTAATTAATCGCACACACATAATATGCCCATATTTTCTGGATTGTTGGACTGTTTCCAAATGCGGACATTGTTTTTAGTCTGGAGATAATAATGACATAGTTTTATTTCTTCAAAAATGGAAAGATTTTCTAGTCTGTAAGGTATTGTTGAAAGCGAACAAAAATATGAAAGAAATGTGACTCACCTTTACCTCGACTCTTGGGCGTTGAAGGTGGGGCGGGTGTTATCGGCGGGGTTTTGCAATCATCACGAAATATCGGCGAACCGGGAACATAGCGATCATTCTGAAATTTAAAGAATAGTTGTAAATTATAAGGATTGATGTTAAGCATAAAATAAATTATAGGAGTAAATTTTAAATAAGTCTTTTCTTAAACCTGCATGATTTTCCTAAACCAAATTTTGCTTTCCATCTTACGCATTTCCTCACTTTCATTCCATCTTAATTACCTTTTAATTGTACATAAATACTTATAAATAAATACATATACATGTACATGTCACCTTATCAAACAAATGTTAACCTTGTGATAAGGTATTTTATCTCACTTCGATTGACTTTCGCAAAGGCCTACAAAACTTTGCAAACAGTCAGTGCAACATCGTCGCTTACTCTTTGTGCAATTATCTGGCACATGTTGTCATGTTGTTTACCTACACGACTGTCTGTCTGTTTGTACATGATAGGTGATAAAATCACCGTAATAAAAAAACAACACGACTTCAATTATACGCACGCCCTCTTCTCAGCCCTCTTAAAACAACCAACGTATATGTACATACATACGTATGAGTGTATAACTTCCAGCAACCCAGAGAAACTATCAACGCCTATGGGCTCAGCGGCAGCACTTCACGATGCTACGATGCTTCGTTCGATGTTGTTGACAGTCAATTTTAGTGTCAGTGACAGTATAGAAACAACGCTCAAAGCGCACAAGCAGTCAGCAGTCGTAACATACAAAAACAAAGACAAATACGAAAGCGAGTACAATTTGTAAATGTGAAATTGCCAGGAGGGGCTGGTAAAACCAACAACAACATTTCCAACAGGAAGCATAGCAGAACGTGGCATAAGTCCCATAACCAAACTTTGAAAATCAAATTTCGCTGCTGGTGAGAAAAAAGTAGGGGGTGTGTCACGAGTAGATCGTGTAGCTTGATGGAACGGCTGTCAAAACAAAAGACAACTGCCAAAATGTATTGCAGACCCAGCAGTTGCAATATAATCACTGTATTTTTGCTGATTAACATGCTGTTAGCGTTGCAGAGGACACGTGGTGAGTGTGGCTAATGAGCGTTGGGGTGGGTGGGGAGTATTAACGTTTCTGACATTTACTGAAAATATGTAGCCCGGTGCGTAATGACGATTTTCTTTAAATACTCGTAGTCGAAATAACTTACTCATTTGGTGAATTTTAAAGTCTTAAATGGAAAAACCTCCTTTTTCTCTTCTAACTTCATCAAGGAGATTAACCCCTCTATTCTAAGGGTACATTCACACATAAAGCGGAGCAGATCCGAGCGAAGCCGTTCCGAGTGGAGTGAAGCTTGAAAATTGCTGTAGCTAGGTAAAAGTGTTTATACTAGGGCTCGTAAAATTATCCGACTATTCGACTAATCGGTTAACCGATTATTCGATTCGTAACCGTTCGCATGCTTATTAGTCGGTTAATTGTATTCGAATAGTCGCCCGCCTTCGATTATTCGAATAGTTGCTTTGCTTCGACTACTCGAGCATTGTAGCAAATCGAATTTCAGCAACCGAACTTTCATTGAAATTTCTTTGACAAATGAAAAAAAATTTATTTAAATATATACATGCACACATATGTATGTATATTCAGATTCAAAAAATGAGCGGACGCAAAAGGAGCTGGGTTTGGGATTTTTTGGAAAAATAGAGGACGAAAAGGAAGTAACATGTTCCATATGTGGCGCAGTTTTGTGCTACACCTCCTCCACATCCTCACTGAACAACCATTTAACAAAAATCCATAACAAAAATCGCGAAAATGAGAGGTAGGTATTGCTTTAGCCATTGTCTCTAAAATATTTCGCAATAACATTTCAATAATTAGCGCACACTCTTGCAAAAAAAGTTTGCCTTAATTTTGCACATGCCATCTTATATATGTACTACGAATGTAACAAGACTTTTCATATATGTATATGTATCTGTAAATGCAAAAAAAAACTCGAACTTAAAATATTCGATTAACCGAAAATGAACGGTTAACCGAATAATCTAAAGTGAACGGTTATCCGAATAGCCGACAGCTTTTGACTACTCGAATATTGCTAACCGATTAACAGTAGTCGACTTCAGTCAGATTCGAATAATTCGGTTAATCGATTAACCGAATTGCGCGAGCTCTAGTTTATACAGCAAGCTTTTTCAGAAGCGTTTTGGAGCTGAGAGCAGAGCAGTATTTGATTCTGAATTTTCTATTTAATTTTTTAGCTTCATGACGCTGCTGCGAAAAAGATATCAAACTATTCAAATAAAAACAAATTTTTCAACTAATCTTCTAAATAAAATTTAGCAATTATTTTTGCAGCTTTTCATTTACGTTAAGTTTTGTGGTATATTTGCAGCCAAGTCCATGAGAAAAGCTCCGCTCCGCCTCGTTCAGTGTGAACACCTGGATGCATGCTTCGCTCCGGCGTTCTTCGCTCGGCAGCGCTCGGCTTTTTGTGTGAACACACCCTTACAGAGTCACAGAACGTAGCTCATAAATGTGCCACAAAAATTCGATTTCAAGTGCAGGAAAAATACACAAAAACTTAAAAATTTGTGTTGTAGCGGTATATTTGAACCAGAAGTAGACTTTGAGGAGCAATATAAATCACAGCAGTGATAAGCCGAGGTTTGTGACTTTTGTTTGAATATGGCTGCAAATGTTGTATATGCAACGCGATATGGGGAATTCCAATACTTTCATCGGTAGTGACTTCAATTTGCTAGCAGGCCGATTTCAGCGCAATCCACGTTAAAGGGAGTGATTTTACAGCTAGCTAGAGTTGATTATGCTTTAAGTACCATCTAGAAGGATCAAAGCCTAGGCCTTATCTAAATCAACAGTCGACCAGAACATGTTTTTTGATTTTTTTTGTATTTCATTCTTCCGCATTTATTGATATATCAAAGGCTCTGGTGTCCATACCTAAACACATCGTGGCAATACATATCTTATAAGAACACTTTAGGTAAATTGCAAAGTCAGGATTAACATCAGTGATGTCAAGTATAGCTCAACCAGCCGCCGACGTAAAACCGTACGGCACGCACGGCTGGCACGAAGTATCTTATGGGATGCTCGTGTTAACGAGAATTCACCAACGCATGATGGTGACGTTTCCGTTGCTTCTCTCTCTCTATCAAAAACAATTACATATGTTGATACGGACGGTAGGTACGGAAGGCCGCCCCGTCGGTGGCTGGTTGAGCTGTAAGGCCCAAATAGGCTGTAACATTACAAAGTAGTTTTTGTGAAAATTACAAAAAAAAAATAAAATTGTTAAAACTAATTTATTTTCTGCTAAAATTAATAATACTCTCAGTAAGACTTCACATTAGTGTTCCGAATCATAGATGGATTTTCCCTTCCTCCCACTTACAGCTAGTAGTTTATAGCCCTACAAATTAACGATGCCATTGGCCCTCCATAATTCTAAGAAATGCTTTTGTAATCGCAAGCACTTTGCTGTTTGCCTTTTACACCTTGTTTTATTTAGATAACTTTAACATTTCTCTAAATACCTACCTTTATAATATTCTTTTGGAAAATATGTATTCCTCTCCGATTTCTTGTGCCCTGCCAATTCCCATGAATTCTCTGTTGGATGCCAAATTAGTTGGCAGCCAACGATGTAAAAGTATAATTTTGTTGCGTTATTTGCGTGAAAAATTAACAAATTTCATAAAAGTTTTGCTACCTCTTCGATTTCAGCTAATTTTCGCTGATTTATTTTGGAGTGAATGAGTGTGTTTTTCATGCGTAGCACACGCGTCACTCTTGACACTCGTTTTACCAGAACGAAAAGTAGAATAGATTCAAATGAAATATCATTGGGTATGATATTGCACATAAAAAGCATGAGAATTCTCTAACCACTTTGTAAGAAGAAAATATTTTGGCAAACATACTTAACCACAAGTCAGCAGATTTTCACGCGAATTACTGAATATCGAAAATGATTTCGTAGTATTATCTTCATTTGGATCACAAATACATATGTATATGTATGTACTTATAGTCAATAAATCAAAATAAGCAAACAGAGTGATGTTGGCAAAAGTTCTAAGTTAAAACTGAATACCGTGAATTTGCTGTTGTGTTTATGGGGAATTGCAGGCATAAAGGACAATGAAGCCCATACACTCTTTACCCGGCGACAACTGCTTAATAGTGCCCTGCCTTGTCAGTGCACTGGCCCTGCAGTCTTCTGCAATATCGCTATGCCCTGAAACGCATGTGAACTTGATAAGAAAGTATTCTGACACGCTCAAGAGGAATGTCAGACACTCAAGCTATTACATATGTTAGCACCGAATCCACAGCTCTTTTCATGTCGACCACCACCGCTTCAAAGGTATATCAGTGATTTCGATGCCCAGATTTGGGGCTGTTCGTATATGTAACTTTGATTTAATTCGAGTGGTGAAAGACCCGGTTGGACCCAGAATTTTGGTATGCAGTGGTTAGCTAAAGCGGGGATGACCTCAAAGATTTTTAAAATTTCGAAGTGCCCATAGTTAGAAGTCATCGTCCAGCCGGTTACTTTGTCCACTTTGTCGACGGGCATAATGTTTAGAAACGCACTAAGCTGTCGAGTATATCGGAGAGAAATAAATAGATTGAAAATGATTAAAAACACCCACCCACGTTTTTTGTACGCTCACATACTTCTCCTGATCAGATACTCATACTTCTCCTGATCAGAATGCATAAGTAGAATGTCGCCCAATGAAGGTAAATAGTTGAATGTTTAGAATTTTATATTTCTTTGCGAAATGATTGCACTCCATTTTAAAAGTGTAGAATCCGATAAAAATAGCAAACATGTAGGTAACGGTTAATTTTTATATCGATTTCTAAAACAATATCTACAGTCGATAGAAAGAATGATGGTAATATTGACATGCATAGCAATCACAACTAATATGAATACATATGGCGCAATTACATATGTGTATGAGTAAGAAAATATCAACAATCGAAGGGTTCATAATAGATTTGTTCGTCGAGCAAAAAAATGTGTACGGATTTGTACGAATTATCATAATTTTTGCCCAAATCGCGTTCGTGCAGACCAAAAAATTATCCATCACTAAAAAACTGAGAGCGCAAAGTGACAGTTCTCCTGAGAGAAGTTGCAAATTCTTTACGCTAGACGAAAAGAACAATTTTAGCCAGCAAGAATTTGCAATCACGAAAAACACATGATTGTGGCACATGGTTGCATTTTTGTCTACGATAATTTGAATAAATAAATTCGTTAAGTTTGAAAATTTATAAACACGAGCGATTTTTTTTTATAAAACAATGGAGTAAATACTTTTTGATATAATTTATTTACTTAATTCCAATGATTTTAACGTAACTCGACTGGAAAAAAATTCTATTCGCAATCGGAATGCAATTGCAACCAGAGTCGATTAAAGAAATCCGACAGCTAGTACGATAAAGAAATTGCAATGTATGTTAAAGAAAGTCAGCACAACAAGAAATATACATGCATATCCTGTTTTTGTCCATCTGTAAGAATTTTAAAAATTCTATAAAAATTTATTATGTTTGAAATGCAACCGTGGACACCAGCTGGCAGGGAAACTTGCCAATTCCCGCAAATTTGCGTTCGTGCAGAAATTTGTTGTTTCTCAACATGAGAGAGAATTTGAGAGAATTTTTTCTTACTCTCTGATATTTTGAGTGTTGGATAATTCTTGCTGGATTTTCGACGAACAAACCTAATAAAGTATTAAAATCATCGTTGGTGATACGCAAAATGATCTACGTAAATTACTACCTTTTAATTTAGATGGTCTGTTACCTGCATTGAAGCAATCTACAAATCGTAACACTCTCATAAACTAATGACAAAAGATTCTCCCTTTGACTGTTGAAGAAGAAAAGCAGTACAGTAGTTTTATGCAGTATTGTTGCAGACGATACGCAAGCGTGAAATGGCCCTTCATAGATATGTAAAGCTAAAAATAGAAATTTTCACACTTTCGTGAAGTCATTTCGCAGCAAAAGCGGCCAAATCAGATGAATAGCGGCGTAATGTATTTTAAGCGCAAATCGAAGAAACGCACAAACGAGCATATTTATAGCAGAATTAAAAAAATATATATATATATGTATGTATATAAAATCGTGCACCACAGCCTGTCCATATGGTGTGCATAAACATACAAGTACACTACACAGACATGTATAAACACCGAGCAAATATAGAGAAAACAAAAACACCAACAATCAGCTAATTCACTTTGGAGTGTTTTTGAAGAAAAGAAATCAACGACTAATGAACGCATTCAATATATGTATGTATGTATGTATGAATGTATAGAGTGAACATTAGATCGTATCACCGGTATCACAAAAATAAGTTCGATTCAATTTTGAAGACTTACTGCAGGAGTTTCTCGGGAATCAACACACGGGTCTGCCTAAGGTCCCTTGCTCTGCAACCTTATGTACGATCGTGTTTTAAAACTAAATTAACCGAATAAGTCACTGCACGCTGGTGCACTAAACTATTAGTGCTTTGTTCTTAAGTAAAATATATAAAAAACGATTTTTTAAACCTATTTTTCATAACTTTTTGTTGTTGTTTTTTTTTTTTTTAATTTTGTGGTTAAGGCTTAGAATCCAGCTCTCAAGAAACATCATTGTTTCTGTCGCTTGAAAAAGCACTTTGATTTTGCTGTAAATTTTCTTGAAGAAATAAATATGCCAGCATTTTTCTGTTGAGAGCCGCAAACTGATTTAAGAAATTTTGATAAAAGAAAAGGAATTTCTTTTTCATTTCTTCTGCGTTATCTTATAGGAATTTTTCGGTTTTCTTGAGAGCTGGAAACAGCCCTTAACCTGCTGAAACAGCTAGTCATTCTGAAATGTTGGAAATTTTGATTGCAAATAAGAAAAAATTTATGCAATTTCCAGTTGGACGAATGGACGACCTAAAGTTAGAACAACCCCGTTCTCCTCCTCCATTTTAGAATGGATAGACGGGTGTTCTAGGACACCCTGTATATATACATACAAACATACGTAAATGTGTGTGAAGGTGGGCGCGGCTGCATTAGTTCAATTTATGCAAAAAAAAAATATATATATATAAAATTGGAACCAGTGTGCACTGGGCTTGTATGATGGGCTTGAAACTGGCCGCATATAAAAGCGAGGTCCATAGAAAAAGTACGAGAAAAGGCAGAGAAAGAGTTCTCATTAATATCAATTACGTCAATTACCATAAACAGCTGAAACGGCCACGAAATCTTATGGTGCATTTTCAACAGTTATGGCCAACAAAAGATGTATGCGCTCCAGCCGGCAACAATTTATCTTCAAGTTCCATACATAGTGGTACGATCTAATGCGGTACATACAAATTTGCCCTCTCATTGCTTTGTTTTTGTCATTGAGGTAGTCTTCGCCGCTAGTATTTATTGCTTTAATTTAACGAATAGGTTTAGTACCTTCGTCGTGTTTTTTTTTTTTGTTTATTTATTTCTGCTCTGCTCTGCTCAATTTAGTATTCATATTGTTTGTTGTTTTTCTACGCGCTGATGTTTCAATTCAATTCAAATGAAAAACACTAAAAACCACTCCAATGAAATGAAGCGAAAATGTGTTGAGACGCGCGCCACAATAAGACAAATCAATTATTTTGTTAATAATTATACAAATTAGATTAGATTATAACTTGAGCAATATTACACAAATATCGCACATGATCTTCAAAAGTGACATAGCTCATAATTTGACATTTTTGAAATTATGCACCAAAAGTGTACACAGATGTTTTATTTACCGTTCAGCAAAAGCTGGAGCAAATTTTTATTATAATTTGCTGAAAAAACCCAAGGTAAAGTCTTCCTTGCCCATATGATTAGCATGCGCTAAGAAATAGTTTTTCGCATTTTCTGACGAACATGTAATTTGGAGTTGTGTCATCTTTGAAGATCGTGTGCGATATTATCTTTACACCCTATTCCTTTTTCTTCTAAATCCCGCTACATATGCACTTTGTATGTATGTAAGCATGTAATCTTATTGCCTTGCCGTGACGTTGGCGCTCAACCATTCTTGGCAAGCTTTATCCTTCTCTCTGTACAGCTGCATTTGTGGTGGCAGCGTTCATTCATTTGGCCTCAACGGTCACTTTGGTGCTGCTTGCCAACTGCTTTGTTTGTTTGGCTGTTTCGCTTACGCATTGACGTCATTGTTATTACACCATCAGCGGCTAACGAGGCCGCGCGCAACTTGGCAAATGTTTCATGTCGATTTTTCGGTTGGCAGTTGTACGGCGCTTTTTGTGGTTATTCTTGTTGATTCTTTTTTTTTTTACGTGATGTAGTTGTTGCACTCGCCATGGCTGCCAAGAATCACGTAGATTACCACTTTCTATAAAAAAAATAAAAATAAAAATAATAAAAATAAATTAACGCAAAATTTTTCGTCTCTCTTGATATACCCCAATATGTCTATTTTTGTGTGCACAAATTTAATTTAAATTTTATTTTGAGTTATTTTGTAGTTAATTTAGAATTATTTAAAATTTAAGCCACTTCGATTGTTCTCTTTTATTTAGTTTTATTTTATAGATGCAACATACAATTAATATAAATACACACATACATATGTTTGTGTCTGTAAACGGCGACTAAGAGAAAAGTTATTGTTAAATAATTTCAAAAGTAAAATTATTTATGTACTTATTATTTATGTTTTGTTTTGATCAACATTCAACACATGTGTACATATCTATTTATTTATTTTTTCTCGTAGTTTCTGGCCTACGCTGCTACACCTGCAGTTACTTGGAATCGGATTTGGATAACACTTGCCTTATGGATGCCAATTCTACGCGAGTCACTAATTGTTCGAAGAAGTATTGCACTATTATGCGTCAAGAATCTGTGGTTAGTACCTATAAAAAACATAAACAAAATTGTCTTTTTGTGGAGCAATCTTAAAAGAAATTACTAGAGTTGAAAAGAGATGTTATTCTATTTTCAATATTTTCAAATCGGTTCTTTGAGAAATTTATTTTGTGGAAAGATTTCGAAAAATGCACTTTTGGTTACTCTTCGGGCCGGCCTTATCGGCCATTTTTTTCATGGGTATATATTTGCATTCGATCCTTGGCTACAAATTTTCATTTAAAAAACCGTCCTACTTCTTCTCTCTTCTCCTGCTGTTTAAAGTCAAAGTGTGAGATGCTTCAAAAGGGATTTCAAGCTCAAAAGTTCAACATCTGGTTATAAAGACAGTCGATGCTGAAATAATTAAAAATCTGTAGCTCTGACCTTTAATTAGGTAAGCTTTACGCAACGATCGAATGCTATTTTTCAAAAGTCTGTTGGAAAAAACAGCTTTAAGCCACCTCTCAATTCTTTAGCTCAAATTAAGAAAATTTCAGCTAAGTTAATAGCCATATCACTGCGTGGTTGATGGTAACAAGGTCGTCAACGAACTGGCTTCAGTAGGCTTATCATCGGTATTTGTAGGGCCGGAACCGTTCATGCTCCTCGAGGCTCATAATCAAAGCGCGTATGAAATCGAAGCGTAGAGAAAACTGAGGAGAGGTAGGGTTGGCTTTAGACAGGCTAAAGTTTTGGAATATCCTAGTGATAATGGCATGTATTGGATTGGCCTATTCCATAGAGGCGGATTGCCGGCGTTGTCTTGAAGAGTGTGACTTTTCTGCATTGGCCAGACTTAGACTGCAATACTTCAGATGAGGGCCCAGGTTCAGAGAAAACTAGTTTTATCGTAAGCACGCTTATATCCATGTTTTTTATTAAATTTGAAAGAACTTTCAAAAGAGCTTTGTAGAAAATACCAAAACAATAATACAGGCAGATTCTGCAATTCACTTCCGCATGAAATTCAAAAAAAAAAACTCACCTTTAATCTGACATTCGGGGTTCCTAGTTTCACTTCACGAGTTTTTTACTTTCTACTTTATTTCGGATTCCAGACCTGAATATAAAACTCAGAAAGTGAAACACAAACCCCCGAAATTACGGATTCAAACTGAGTTTTGTTGAAATTCACTCGGAAGTGAATTGTAGAATATAGCTGATAGTTTTTTTTTTTTTAGCCAGGTTTGAGTGAAATATCTGAGCGATTTTAAAATTTTAACTCAAACCAGACTCCTCTTCGCCGAAGTTTTTTCACTTTGCATAATAGTTTCTTTGTGGACGCCCTTGCTTTCGTCGAGGAAGTTATCAGTTCGTCGGAATAGTTTTTTTTTTTTTATGTATGTTACCGCATAACTTTGGACCTCGTTGGCGTTTAGTTGGCGCAAAGAGCGTAGTCTCTCTTCTTTTGGGTCGCGAGACCAAATTTCCTAATACATCTACTATGTAGTACAATTCGTCTTTGCAGATTGAAGCAACGTGTTTTTTTTTTTGTCCTACATTTAATTATGCCAACAGTTTTACCAATCTGGATATTGCCAATTAGATTTCCATTTTCATTTCCATAGGAAACAATTCTAATCTGGAACCCTTCTAGTAGCTCTATATTTGCATAGAGAAATTTGTCGAAAAAAAGCAATAAAAATAACGATTTAAGAATAATAAAGAGCAGCGTTACTTAAACATCCGGCCGAACAATAGAATTAGTGAAAACAATGTTAATTCAGTTTGTAAATATACAAGTTTTTAAAACATAGAAATACATACTACATACATATTTACACATGCAAATGTGTATGCAACTCCGGCAATTCACTTAAATGTTTGTCTTTGCCAGCAAATTGAGCGGAAGCCGCTACGATGTTACACTAAACTTTTTTCCACGACAAAAGCAGGAAATGAGTGTAAAAGCAAAACGCAACAAAATTTTTATGAAAGCAAAAAAAAGGGACAAAAATTACGAAAGCCACGCGCGCTGCAATTTAAAAAGCGTACAGGAAATGAGAGTTGCGTGGATGAAAGAAAAACGTTGAAACATCAAAAATCACTCTACAACAACTTTACCACCTGCATGCATAGAGCTGGGGCTGCCGTCGACAGCATAAGCGAAAAAATGTACTTCTAGCTAGCAATTATACTTGCCACTCACGCCATGCCGAGGCAAACTGCAGCTACTCATGCATTTATTAGCCAGCAATACATCAACACACCCTACTCAGCAGATATTGGGGCACTCATAATAGCCCGGTAGTTAGCGAATATTTGCTTAGTAAAAATTTTCCAAATGGGAAAACATCAAGCAAACTTTTTCAGCATTTGCATGCGCAACGGAGTATATGAAGTGGTAAAAGTTGGTGGCATATGTGGTGGCAGCTTGACATGTGACGCGTGCGTTTTTGCGGCAGCAACGGGCATGATGTTCTGGAAGGAGTGATTGGACTTTACAAAATATTGCGTGATAAACTTGGAAGCCTATTTAGTTTTTTTTTTTAGCGAAAACCTTCAAGCAGCCAAGCTTAACTACTCTGGTTAATACCAAATCCAATTTACCAGCATTTTTAAGTTATCCAACCCAGTGGCCTGATTTAAGCAAATAAGCTGGCCAATAAGTTGCACAGATTTGTACAATTCTTATTTAATACTTTAATAAATAGCGTTTCTTAGATAAATACTCGTTTTGTATGCACGCACATCAGGGTGGTCCGAAAATACACAGGAAAATCAACTATTTGAATGCAGATGCACTCCAAAATTATAGAAAATTGGGAAAAAAGGAACCAGTACTTTTTTTATTTTGAAATTAGCTAATATTTAATGGAGTTAAAAATTTGACGTTTTCCATGTATTTTTCATGAGGAAAATACATTTCTTTGTTGAATTATAAAATCGTTAAAAGTTTACGTTTTTTTCATTAAAATCAGATAACTTTTGCTATTACCACACCCTAGTACAGTGGGCGTGGCAGTTTGTTAATCTATGTGATTTTCAACTCTACTTCATTTCGTAGTAAAAATACCACAGATAACAAATTACAGTATGCTCGGAGCACAATTGGTACTTTTTGCCATATTTTATTAGGGGCGCTTCCAATTCTAAAAAAAAAAAAATTTTCTCTACCCTAATGTACATACTTATGTACTTATGGACATTAGAAACCTTTCAAATGTCTATATGAATGTGTGCGCGTATAAAATATATGCAAAGCTTGTTTGCCTTGATTTGTCGTCAACTTCGGATAATCTTTGCCACACTCCAGCCAGCAAAGCTGATAAAGCTTTATAAGCGCATATTAAAATTGAATTAACTTTTTGTAATGGTGCAACGAAGGATGTGTGGTTGTGGAAATGCGTGGGAAAGATAAAGCAAGAAATTGGAGGGAAGCAATGGGCAAACCAATGCAGAAGATTAAACATCATCCGCCCTTTTAGTGAAATTTTATTTTGACTTTCAATATCCTGTCACTGAAAATGCACTTTGAAAAAAATATTTCAACCGTGATATTGAAATTTATACCACTGCATATTTGCTTTTTTTAAAGAAAAATTTTAAAATAAACCAAGTCTAAGGGGTAGTAGTTATAGCTGCTTTTCGAAGATCACCACATTTCCTGATCAGACTTTTTCTCTAGACTTCAGTAAAATCTTACCCGCATCATAGACACGCAAAATCATCATCACTGAGCAAGCGCAAAGGTCCGGTGGTAGTGACATACAAAGATGGTATTGTTTCAAGATCACAATTTCTCGATAACTATTCAGCGCTGCTGATTCCGGCAAATGCCGTTGTTGTGTGAAACCAGTATAAATCTGATTAGAAAATATTCTGACGAAATTGAGAAAGAGGTTAGTACTCCTAGTGAACTATGCGAAATTATTGTCAACTTCTTCTTTAAAGCAGGCACTTCTGCTTAAAAAACACTACTGCAGTCTGGAAGCTTTAACTCTACTTTAATGGCAGAAGACCCATACACCAACCCCTCCTCCAAGCTTCCACACATTTGCAGAAGAGTTCATTTCTCCATCGTAGGGTAAATGTCTGAGAATAAGCTTACTGAAGCCATTTCAAAGATTCTTTGGTCCGAGTAATCATGGTAGTCATAAGGGCAAGTAATTAATTTAAGCATTTTATCCCATATCTTATTAGGGGCTCGCTTACAAAAAATATAAGACAACTTATAACTTCCACACCTAATGTGTTTTCTACGATAGGTTCTTATTTATATAGGAACATGCCCAAGAAATTTACCACCATGATAGCCACCCATTAAGTCCCGAAATTTGAGTTACCTTGGGCCAAATCATTTGAGGTATCCAAAATCGCCCTTAAATATGAGTGTATGTCGAGAGATGGGAAAAACTTTTACGGCACCATACTGTCTTCGGAAATCTTGGAAACATGGATTTGAGTTAGCCTAAAGCGAAAAGTTAATATTTCAAGCACTCATTATCGGCAAAAATAGGAAAACAAAAACCTCACAAATATATTTATAAGTTATATACTTAGGTACATAAGCCCTTATTTTTGAAAATCAGAAATTTGGGGGTGTTACGTGTATTGGAAAAAATAGTTCCTTAAAAATTTTTTATCAAGTCCGACCCGTGCCACAAACATGCCGAAGTTGAGATAGAGAAATATTACTTTTTGTCAATGCTGCCTTTGGCTATACTCCTTATTACACGTTTTTGGCACTGGTTAATCTGAGTCAATTGAGTCAATATTACATAAATATTTTCTCCTTATATGCAACCATTTCAGGGGATAGCACCTAAAAAAAATTTGATAACAAGTGCTATAGTATATTCATAGCATTCTATAAAATTCCAAATATCGCGTAGACAAAACAGACATTAACATAAAAAAAAAATGCTCTCAATCATTAAGAGGAGTAAGAATATTAACATCCACTGATCTAAAGAAAACATGCCATAAACTATCTAAGACAATAAGCGATAAGCGCATTACATCTTTATTAAGTACTTTAAAATCAACACACCACACACATTCACACATACGACACACATTTGCACCAGTTTACGCAGATAACAAACTTTTAACTGCAATCAAGACATCTAAGCTGTGCTATTCTCAGTGTAAACGCGGTTGTGGTTCGAAGTTTATTTTAACATAACATATACACACAGATATAGACACACATATCTACACTACACTTGCATGCATACATACATACACATGTACATCCAAAAATAAATATATATATATATATGTATACATACACATCCGTACATACACAGGAATAGTGCCTACACTGTAAGCATGGTATTATTAGCGGCTTTACATAAATATATTTTGTTATTTTATTTGTTTGCTTTCGTACGGTCACTGCGCTTTCCAGCTTTATTTTGCTAATTAATGCATTGGCTTATGCGCTCAGCAAAACCGCAGGTATAATAAAGCGTCAGCATGAAATCCGCATAGGTGGTTGCCAGTTGGTCAACTTTAGTGGACATTCCTAATGAGATTGCAGCAGCAAATAAGCAACAACAAATTAAAAACAAATGAAAACCACGAAAATTACGTGTGTCCGTTATTTCCGTATAATACGCTGCTAGGAAATTAGTTATTAAATTGAAGTTGTTGAAGTGCATATAGGGTATAGGGCAAGTGATTAAATTATTTGCTTTCAATAAATTTAGTTATTTATTTCAAATAAATACATTTTCCAAGTTTTTAATGTAATTGTTTTCTCGCTTTTGTTTCTTACCCAGAGTCCCGCTGGAAAAGTGATTTCCTTTATACGCGATTGCTTGGATAAACCTTTGGTGAGTATGTACAAGTTTTAATAAATATGTTGAGGTAATTTTTGTTCGATTACTTTGAGTAATAAACTATATTTTTTTTTTAATTTTTAGTACTTGAATGCCATTAAAAGCGATTCGACTTTCAAAAGCTTCTATCGCAGCTGTACTACAGATCTTTGCAATGACTCAGACGGCATAACAACAGCAACAAATGTCGATCCGAATTTCGGTGCTTCGCAGAATATGATTATTAAAGGCAAACGTCATTAGTACTTATCTATAGTTATATACGAGTTTTGAAATGTTTAATAAAATAAACAAAATTGCATCAAAGGATAGGCTTTTGGGGTTTTACGGATACTTATACCAGTATATATGCAAAAAGGAGTATACATCATTCCATAAAGAAACCTTACATATTTTAACAGACTTTGTCTCAAACTGAGAAAAAGTTATTACTAAAACTGCCACTGATGATATCGTTGATTTCGTTTCAATGGTACATTTCCCTGCCAATAATAATACTTTTTTGTTACTTACATTTTGGCTAAGTTTTTGGCCGAGCTTCTCCTCCTATTTGTGGTGTAGTACGTCTTAAAGTTGTTACAGCCATGAAGGGACCTACGGTTTTACGCGGCCCCCGAACGGAAAATGGATTTTATGAGAAGCTTTTTCATGGCAGAAATATACTGAAAGGTTTGCCATTGCCTGCCGAGAGGCGACCACTGTTAGAAAAAACTTTTTCAGATTTAGATATTACCCGCACCAGGAAACTAACCCAGGTCCCATTAACAAATATTTAACACTTTTGACTTGACTTAATACTAAATACTTGCTTTTTGTTCAGTGTAAAAATAGGACTTTTCGGGACTATTTCGAGTTTTTGGGACTTCTTCTGGATATTCGGGATAATTTCAGAATTTTCGCTACTATTCGGGATTTTCGAGATTTCCGGAACTATTTCGGGATTTTCAATATCTTCAGAATTTGCGGGCCTATATCGAAAGTTTCGGGGCTATTTAGGGATTTTCGGGACTCTCGGAAATATTTTGCGTTTTTGGGATAATTTTTCGATTTTCGGGAATATTTCGTGACTCTCAGGCATATTTCAGGATTTTCGTGACTATTTAGGGATTCCCGGAATTAAATCGACATTTTCGAGCATATTTTGAAATTTTCGGTGCTACTTCGTGTTCGAGATTTTCCGCACATCTGGACCATATCATAATTTTCGGGACCATTTCGGGATTTTCTGAAATAAAATGAATCTCTGATTTGTTTCCCCGAGCTGAGATGAGGTGAGGCAATTTAAGGTGATGTGAAGTGATTTTAGGTGAGGTGAGTTGAGGTAAGTGGAAGGTAACGTGTTAATAGCTTAACTTAGGGTATACACCGGAAAATACTGTCATGACAATATCAATACATGCACACTTTTTCACTAATATATGCATACTTTTCCATTGCAACAATTTTGACAACTAATACGTATATCTTCATTGTCTTGACAGCATTGTCCAATGTAAACGCGCCGCTAGTTTTTCCTAAGTCGTAAAATATTTAGCCCTCTATACTAATACCTTGGTAATTTGGTGTAAGTGGTCTAAAGTAACTGGGAGGCTTTAGATCAAAGTATTTAGCGTCTGATAAATACATTAATTTTGTTTTATTTAGCAGCTTTAAAATACCAAATTTTTCTTGGGTATACTCTACTAAGTATTTGGGTATTTTGTGTCCAAACTGTTGCTGTAAATACAAAAAGTACTTAAGAATGCCCATCACTGATGTGGGAATAGACTAAATGTAATATTTGAATTCCTGTAATGAGTCGAACATTTGTTTCTCCTGTCTGCCTGTTGCACATTGAAAGCTCAGAATTTTATTAGCTCAGGTGCATAAGTATACTCCTTTTTTTATTACCCAACAGTATCGTTTGTTGGTACTTTTATACGTGAGTGTGCTTTTTCTTTTTATGACCATCCTCTCTACAAAATGCAAGAGTCATAGCAAATCAACAAAGTTGCTGTTATGTTCATCATAAGATGTGGCGATTTTTACAGTCTGCGGCATAAATATATTTTGCTGCAATGCAACAGCATAAATCTGGTTTAACGATCGCGTCTTGTACAACATTGCAGACGGATACTCATATTTCAAAGCATAACGCGCCCACAGGAAACTCAGAGAGTGCATTGACTTTGATGGAACTTTGTACATACATATGTATATATGTAATGCAGTGCACAAAAATATTCAAATATTCCTACTAAATAAATTCACAACCGCCCACTGTTCGCAACCGCCATTCATGTTTAATTTAAGTTTCTCATTCGCTTAGTTGCGCTTGTCACACTGTCGCATTCACTTTCGCTTTCGCTGTCAGCGTTGCAGTCACAAATGTGCTCATAATTTTCACTTTTAACAGTCGAATAAATATTTGCGTTTTTTTTTTTTCTTTTTTTCTCTTTGTTGCATCGCATGCAAATAGCACACGGTGAAGCACGCACACTTACAGTGAGAAATTTCGCATTTATTTTTATGTGCCGCCCGGCTATTTTCGGCCACCACACCATCACGGCGACATAACCATTAAGCTGTGCATTTATGCATTTCACTGTGGCGACAAAATCACGAAATTTCTATTAAAATTTCGTGCATTCTTTTATTTTTCACTTAATCTTAATGCGTTTTTAGTGGCATGGATGACGCCAATGCGTGCACGCCATCGTCACGTTGCGTATACGCCATGGAGGCTGATAGGCCCAAAAGAGAGAAAGGGCGAGAGTCAGGAAATGCATACGTACATATGCACGTACATATGTTTGGACGTTTTGGCAGGCGTAGAAAAATCAACGTAATTGCATTTGAAAATACCACAACGCCCACACTGCATCCAGTGGCTATACAAATTCACGCAAAGCATATAATTTGTGGGTAGAAAGAAACGCGAAGGCATCGGGCCAACTATAAATAAAATTTGCAACTATTTCGGTGAAAGCGAAATGAAATTTCTTTGAAAATATTTTTGTGTTACACTGCAGCAGCGCATGGAGGAGTGTTTGTTGGCCAACAGCGGCAATCTAACAAAGACCGACGGCAGCAAGCACAACAACTAAATATCACTGCTACAATAACAATTGCAACGAAAATAAATGCTGCTGGTTGGTCCATCAGCTCTGACCGCAGTCGGCAGAGTTCAGTGATGCATTGTGGCTTTTATTTAAATGCAGCTAATTGCAATCGCATATTTTTATGGTTTGCTGGCGGGGAGTGGAGCATGCAGCTGCAGCCACTCAGCGGTGACGACGGTGACTGCGCTTCACTGGCGCACTTCATCGCAAAATTTATTTCGGCTGGATAGACTACGTTGCTGATTTTGTGTCTTTTTTTGTTTATATTGTGGCTGTAGTTGCTTTTCAGCAGCAGGAAATTTGTTTTTTGGTTTTTTTGTTGGTTATCGACCAACTTTGGTCGGTGGGTTTTATGTGTTTTCACTAAATTTCATTTGGCAATTTTTGGCTTTCACAACTCATGCGAATGGAAGACTTTTTACTGCTCTTCGTAAAATTCGTGGTTTTTGTTTTATTTTTCACTCTTCGCTTACGGTAGCATTCCACTTTATGTTTATTTGAGTTATAATACACTTATGCAAGGATAATGCCTATGGCAATTTAAAGGATTTAAAGGATGCAACAGTAAATTACAAACGCTGTATGTAGGTATTTGGGCCATTCCAGTGAAGACGTCACCTCAGATAAAAAAATAAATTTCATAAATTGTGCTTAGTTGTAAAAAAAAGATTTTTTTCGTGAAACAAATCGGGCCATGAGTAAAGAATTTCCTAATATCTCGTCACCTGTGCCCCCTTGAGAATTGTTTCAGGTACATAAATATGACACCTTACTAGCCTAATATTGAGTACATAATCGATTATTATTAGGGACCGATTGTGTCATTACCTGCGCAAGGCGGGTCTTCATACAGATCTTCCGCAAAGAACTATAAAGTTATACTCACTTAATCAATTATTATCAGTTTTTGGTTAACATGGTGATTTTGAACGCTTTAAAGGCTGTGTTCGATAATTTTTAACCTGTGGTAAAAGACATTTATATTTATATTGATCTTCATTGCAAAAGCTAGAATTTAAGTACCTTTTCCGAAAAATGTCTCAACACTTGTAGCAATGTTAAAGCCTCTGCAAAATCTCACCTAGCCCGATTTGCAACAAAATAATTGGTCTACGCAAAAAAAAAAATAAAATTTTATTGATGGACAGCTCAAAAAACAGTCTGACACAACTAAAATGTATTCATACGTATGTTTGTAAGCATGCATACAAATTGGTATCCCTGCAATTGACAATTAATTAACCAGTTTAGGTAAAGTTTACCAATGAAAGTTAGCAATTTATATGTAATTCTTGTGCTATTTTGCAACACATGTGCAATGCTCACTTGCAATTAAAATATATTGCAACAAGCTTGCAGCTTTAAATTGAACTAAGTTTATTTTATTTTATTTTGCTTTTCTTCTGCTAGTCCAGCTCTATTCTGTCTTTTTGCTGTCAGTGGGCAATTTTTTTTGTGTTGTATAGGAATTCGTACAACTAACTCTTTGCAGATATTTTCATTTTAATTACATAAATTTGTTGGCGCTGCACAGACTAGAAGCTGCAGTTGTCTGGTAACCATTAGTGCTACTAATGGTCTCAATTTGTGTTCTTAAGCAGGGATCATACAATTTGTAAATTTTTTCAGTGGTGTTGTTCGGAAATTATTTTATTGAGCTGAACTCAAACTTCGAAACAACGGTCAATGAAAACTGGTTTTAAGAAGAAAGCTAAAAACTGTGACTGAATGTTTGGGTTTTTTATAACGAAAAGCTTTTTTTGTTGTTTAAACCTTTGGACAGCCGTCATGGCTGAGTGGTTAGAGATGCGTACTACCACTCCATAGGGCATGGGTTCGATCACTGGTCCGAACAATTTATAATTTATAATGGTAAGCCTTCGAGTGTATTTCTGCCGTGAAAAAGCTTCTCGTAAAATCCATTTACCTTTCTGAGGCTGCGTAAAATTGTTGGTCCCTCCATTTGTGTAAGAAAATCAAGATGCCCTTCACATATTAGGGGAGAACTCCGGCCAAACACTTTGCGAAAAGTGTAAGCCCCAAAATATTATTGTTATTATTAAAATTTTGGTATAAATTTTTATAAATTTTAGAACTTGACATATAATATTGGCCATTTAAAAATTGGACATATATTTTTAGTAACTTAAAAATTTTATAAAAATATCGTTTTTTTTCAAAATTGGACACAATTTTTTTGTAATTGAAAAAGGGCATAG